GTGCGTCTTTATCCACACCCTCAAATGGAAAAAAGCCCCCAGGAAGGCCTGCTCTCATCTGCTTCCTATAGCCTCCCCTTACCTTGTCTCAAACAATGGCCTCATCAACCTACCACCCCCCTACACCCAGGAAAGAAAAATTGAATACGATGCTAATCCATCTTCTAAAACACTGCTAGCCCACATCTCTCTGCTCCAATAAAAGAAAAAACAGATGTAGGCTTTGATATGCCGTGAGACGTGAGTAGAGGGGGCCACCACGAAATAGGGACCTGGCCTTTATGCTTGATGGTTTTCCCGCTTGGCGGCGCAATTCCCGGCGTTCCCGCTTGGCGGCGCAATTCCCGGCGTTCCCGCTTGACGGCGCGATTCCCGGCGTTCCCGCTTGGCGGCGCGATTCCCGGCGTTCCCGCTTGACAGCGCGATTCCCGGCGTTCCCTCTTGGCGGCTTGATTCCCGGCATTCCTGCTTGGCCGCGCGATTCTCTGCGTTCCCGCTTGGCGCCGCGATTCCCGGCGTTCCCGCTTGGCGACGCGATTCCCGGCGTTCCCGCTTGGCGACGCGATTCCCGGCGTTCCCGCTTGGCGACGCGATTCCCGGCGTTCCCGCTTGACGGCACGATGCCCAGCATTCCTGCTTAATGGCATGATCCTGGCCCCCACGCACTCAAGACCGTTCAGCACCGGATTCCTCGGCGAAGCACTGGGATCCTTCACCGTTCCTTCTGATCTGTTAGATATAAAAAATTTCTGTTTGAAAGTTCCAGCGGGGAAAAATCGGAGTGTGTTTATGCCCACCCATGCTGGTCCTCCTGTTCTGCCCCATGATTAATGATTGCCCCCTCTCCCCGCCTTGGACCGCTGATTAAACGATGTTATTACCCAGCCTTGATTTACCGGGTCCGACGCCTGCTTTATTACACGCAGAACATCCCCGTAGCTGGCAGTGAATTACTGTGTCCATCTCTCCCGTTTGCCGCGGTAGCCTGCGAACCACAGCTCCACGTTCGAGGTTTGTTGTGAAATTAAATAGCATCGTTTTCCCAAATACCCTTCAACTGTGGGCTGCGCCTCTGCTGAGGGGCGTGATTTATCGCTGGTGAATTGGACGCCGTTATTGTTATTTTTCTCATTAAGGTTTTTGATGTTTTTTAGCCGTCCCGCGGGATGCTGGCGTATCGCTCGCGATATTTCACATTTGTTTTCCCACCCGACTCCTCCGCACATCGGCGCGTCTGAGAAAAGTAAACGGCGGCACGGCGTTTGGCTTGTGTTTGCACCGAGCAGTTCTGTCTGGGGGGGGAGGGGGAAGGTTCAAACAAAACGGCGTCCCGCTCCCCAGCTAGCGGGCGCTCAGACTCCTCGTCTCCGCGGGGTGAGGAATGCAGACACCGCGGCCTGTGATATCCGTAGCAGAAGCCGGCCACCCTGCCCGTTCCCTTCATATATGCCCCCACCCCAATAAAGTGTTAAATGGCGTGGATGGGAGCAGGTGGAGGGACTGGGCAGGGACAGCACCCACTCCTAATTGGGGCCAAATGAACAACACATGGTTGCCATGCCGCCTGGTTGCCGGTGGTGGGGGCCAAAGGTGTGCATGTGCTTTTTTTTTATTGAGACCAATTTACTGCAGGGTTCTGCGACCCTCACCTGGTCCTTTTACGATGGCTTGTTTTTCCTCTGAGGGTGGGGGCAGGCGACTACTGTTTTGGCTTTCGATGTAGCTCCTTAGCCATTCAGAAATTGGACCTGGGGGGGTCTCTGAATCACATTGGCGTCTTCCTCCCGCCGTAATGGCCGGGGTCGAGAACGACTCGTTCTCCAGTCCTGCAGATTCAGCGGGATCGACGTAAACATGCCGGCTCCTTCCGTACTCGGTGTCGGATTGGGATGGGTCTGTGGTTGTGCTTTTGGGAATTCCAGCTTTAAAGTGGGGCTCCTTCCCGTCTCTGTGTGGTAATGTGGGAGAAGGTTTTCAAATACCCACCATGTTGCTTTGGAATGGAGGCCTGGCCTATACCTCTGAAAGGTGAGGTTTTCGGATTCGGAAGCAGCAGGAGATGTTGCCCGTGTGTTTGTCCTCTTAGACTAATGAGGCCCCATTAACATCAGGGTCGGCAAGATAAAAACATACAGAATGACTTGAGCCAGAGATCGATTCCTGTTGTTGTTTTTCCTGCATAAATCCCATCCTGTGTCAGACGGAGGCTGTGATGTCATCATGGGGAGGACAAGCGGGTGGGTCAGCAGAGGGGGCGTTTGGTAGCGGGGGGGGGGGGATTCACTGCTCTTTTTTGTCTCTGATGCTTCGACCTCGGTGGTGAGGATTAGGAACATTCTTGCTCTACGACACGGGAGCGAGGCGTCAGCTACGGTCTGCCGCTCCATTTTCCCGTCTGCTTTGTTTTGTAGTAGCATTAGGCAGGATTTTCCCCTCCGTTAAAAAAAATAATAATAAAATAAAGCTGTGGTTTCTCCTGGAACCCCCCCCACCGTACTGCACCCTTCGGGCTGAGGGGCATCAGAGCCCGTTTAATGGCGGGGCAGGCGGGGCGGGCACTCCTGTTTGTACACACACAGCTCCAGACGGTTTAGTAAAAGGGCTTTACTGTGCTGCTTTTTGCCAGGCTGGCTTCGGGGTGGGATACACAGGGTCCCCCCCCCAGGCGCCGTTCCCTCTCACATGGAAAATCCTCCCAGAACTTTCCAAGTGTGCGGCAGTGAGGGGAAAGAGCCCTGTCCTATCAACAGTTTATTCTGTTTTTTTTTCTTTTTTCTGGAATCCCGGCATACCCCCCCGCCCCCAATATTTGCACGCCTTGTGACCATAACGACCCCGCTTGGTGGCTGCCTCCACTAATCACGGTCAGCATGCAGAGGTTTCATTGTGAGTTATTGTTATTTGGGCCGATTTGGACGATGGGGAGATTACAGCATGTAATCATACCTCCATGGCTTTGCCAGAGAGGGAAAAAGGTTTTTTTGTTTCTCCGGGAACCAGAGGCCCTGGAAGTGGCAGCAGCTCTTCAGGAAGCCTGCAGGACTCGTGACGTCGTGGTGACATTGTGTTCTTTCTATACAGAGGAGCTGTCATTGTTGCACTTATTCTTGGAAACTCAATACAGTCCTGCTGGGTTAAGGACCCTCCCCCCCCCCGGGCTACACACGGCCATTGGCGCACAATGAGTTTTCTGTCATAGATCTGGCTAATCTGGATCTCCTCCAAGTTCTGGAGACCTGGCCTGGCTGTTTCATTTGTTTTCAAGGCAGGGGGGCCCTTCTCATTCTCCCTGATAGTTTAATTGGGCTTTGGGCGGGGGGGGGAGGGTTTGAGACATAGGCCTGTCACTGTTACTGGCTTGGTTTCCGTAAATCGCCAGCAAGGCGAGGCTGTTTTTACGATCCGCGCGCGTATGTGGCGGCTAAACAAGCGGACTGTGTTCGCTGGGTACTGAGGGCCGCTGTTTCTGGGCACGTGCCCTGTCACGCAGACAAGCAGCCCCCCATCACGGTATCCCTGGGGGGGTCCCATGTCACCAGCCCTTCCTAAGGCGTCGAATGAGCACACCACCTCATTCATGCGTGTGAGCAATAGACACTAAATTGATCTTAGGATGGAAGGTAAGCAATTGAGCCAACAGCCATGAGTAAATGGACTGATTGGCCCACATTGTTTATTGAACTTCACTACCAGTATTTTTTTATTTAAGTCAAAATGGTTTAAAGGGTGTGTAAGTGACCAGCAATGCTGAAAATGTCCTTGACACAAAGGTAAGGACTCTAGCTAATGTCAGAAATGGCTGCCTTGAAGATGTTTGTTTGCTTTTGTTTCCGAATGGAGTGTTTGTGATCCCATCCAATGTCCCCTGGACAAGCAGTGATGGTAAACTATGTTGGCAAATAAATGTGCCGAAACGCCAAAGTGTAACGGCGTGCGGTAAAGCAGAATGGGCGTTATCAGAAGCCGCTCTCCATGCATCCTCCTCTGATCTTACAGCCAGCATTCGGGTCCTAATGGACTGGTAATCAGTAGCAGAATTTGATGGATCCCACATCTCGCGTCAACTTTGAGTGTCCCCCCCGCCCCCCAATGATTTATTCGCTTCAGACAGATTCTTGACAATTCTTCCTTGGATGGCTTCTCTACACCCCCGCCCCCCAAATCCCCCAAATCAGAGCGATTACAGCGAGACCCCAGCCCTGTCTGCCGCCAGTCGTCCCATTGCCTCGGTTTTCCCCGGAGATCCTAGCAGCACACACCCTGTGTGTTGTGGTTTTTTGACTCAGGGCTTTTTCTTCTGCCCCCCCCCGCCCCCTGCAGAACTCTACGGCTTTGATGTCCTCATCGATTCGAACCTGAAACCTTGGCTTCTGGAGGTCAACCTGTCCCCATCTTTGGCCTGGTGAGTCAACGATACTTCCCTTGTTGTCCCTCCATTAATGATACAGTCGCTCTCTGTGGCTTGTAGGGCCGTTTCTTTGGGTTTCCATCGGCTCTGACCCGTGAGTAGATGTCGATTCCTTATGCTTCCTTGGCAACCGGAGCAAGGGATGATGTCAAAGGCTGTAAATTTGTTTGCCCATTTCTTCAAACAGTGCAAAACCAGGAGGTTTTGGTCTTAAGGAAAGCAGGAATGAGTCAAACACTGTTTTTAGGAAACCCGGCTCTGCCTAAAGACTCATAAACAATATCTGGTTAGTTCTATAAATAGACCTGGGAATATTGCACGTAAGGAAATGGGAGTTTCGGGATTTTCACTTCATTAGACCAATAAAAGCTGCTCAGCTGGACTTAAGCACTCAGGCTGGTATCCACTTGAAAAACAACATTTAGTTTCGCTGACATTCCAGCTCACTAAAGGCCCCAAGTATAATGTGACAGTTGTGTTCATTTTAACCCCGTAATTGACTAATGTCTTTGTTAACAAGAGAACAAGCCGTACATTTATAATGTGTCGGAATATGGAAACAATCTACGATTGGCTTATAAAATGCAATTAATTGGTTGTCCATGGCCCCGTTAAGAGGGTTTATTGTGCAATTAATGTCTTATTAATGGTGCGCAACGTTTAAGGCTGCTTTGAGATTTGTAACCCCAAATTAGCTGTTTACTGCCAGTTGAATTAATAAATGTATTTTGTTTTTAAGTTGTAATTGTTCCTCCCCCCCTTCTAAAAATGGTTTGTGAATGACTTTATTGTTATTATGTATTTATTGTTTTGTGGGACATGTTTCCCTACACAAACAAAAGTGAACGGTGACAGTGACAATGGTGAGAATGGTGATGAGGGCGAGTGCTTTGGGCATCTTCCTGCTGTCATTTGTTCGTTATCTTTCAGCTTAACTGATACCTAGCAGTCATTCTTTGGAATCTTTAACAGCGATATCAGTGCCACTAGCAATAAACTGCATCATTCACTGAACAATGAAATACATGATGGACACAAAGGTTGCATAACATTTTACCAGCTTTAACAGATTATGAAATTATGAAGATGTCGTCTTGAATGTCTAGTGCTGGTAAATTTAACACTTGCTAGTGTACAGCCTGACACCTGAATGGAGTTGTTTTTTGAATATATTTACTTGTATCTTGCTATCCCCGTCTCCTCCTGTCATGGAAGACTGCGCTGCTCTGCTCTGCGCTGCTTTGGAGGTCTGACGTGGACCTCATTGCTCAACACATTTTATCTCTTCTTCTCTGTTGGCCGCAGTGATGCTCCACTGGACCTGAAGATCAAAGCCAGCATGATTTCTGACATGTTCTCCCTCGTGGGTGAGTTCGGCACTCTCCGAGTGATTAATACAGGCTTAATGGGCGGCTTTTGGGAGGGGTAGAGGTTCTGGGGAGGTTCTCGTTTTGCGTTTCTGGAAGTCGGCTGGTGTGCAGATGGCAGAGACTCAGATGAATGTCCCCACCGCAAACAACTTGTTAACAAGTTGGTCTCGTGTTGGCTGGAGGGAGGCCTGGCCTCCATCTCGCCCCGGCGACCATACATCTGAAGACTGAAAGAGGAATTAAGTGGAAAGGCTGCCTTTTTTGTGGGGGGGGGGGGGACCATGTGCTATTCCAGTGCTTGTTTTAGCTTAATGGGAATCTGTAAAGTAACACTTGGGTTACACCAGTGTTTCTCAAACCAGTACTCAGGGAGCCCCAGACAGTCCACATTTTTGCATCCTCCCAGCTCCCAGTGCTGTCATGGTAACTAAGACACTGCTCCAAATGCTTTGTCTTATAAATAAAAAAAAAACAAACAAATACAGCCTAATGTTGGGGTTACGCTCCGAAGAACCCATCGTAATTTGAAAATATTGTAAGTCGAATGTGAACGTAATATGATACATCACAAAGAAAAAAACACTGTACGATGTGTTGATAAACACTGTATGAGATGTTCCTGCACATGATCGCTACAGAGACTGAAGCGTGGTTGTGTGGATGCTGCCATCGCCCGGCGATAGAAGAAAGTATCGTACGATATATCACTAACCTGGCAGCAGATCAAAATTCAAAGCTTGATGACTACTAAATGTGCGTCAAGGAGCGTCTGTAAACATCTCATTGTTTGGTTCAGATGTGCTGGAAGTGGGGAGGGAGCGAATAATGTGCACTGTCTGGGGGTCCTTGAGGACTGGGTTGAGAAACACTGGGTTAAACCAATCGGTGATTGACAGCAATCCTGCCTACTATGGGTGTGTGATCCTTGTGTAAGTATAAATGCCTTTGTGCTCCCAATAGCTTGACAAGCCGGCTTGACATGGACTAAGTGAAATGAAGAGGTCCTCCTTTTGATTTGTGATTCCTTTCTGCCCCTGTCATCTTAATCACAGAACTCAGAGTCAGTCTGACGTAAATGGGACAAGTAGCTGGAAAGAGAGCGGACCCTTGCACACTACTCTGGTGGTGGGTGGGGGGTGGGGCAACAGCACTGTGAAAGTTCTCAAGCATCATGTGACACTCTGGACGGGCCGTCCATGAATATCCTCATCTTGTCATAAGGATTATTCTCCAGTTTTCACCTGAGCGGGGGCCACGCTCTCGAGGTTTTGGGAATTTTTAGACCCCCATACCTCATTCCCGTCTCTGGGGCTTGGGCTATGACAGGTTCGCTAGGATTTATTTTTGAGCCGGGTGTCTCGTGTTTATGAAACCCCACTCTGTAAATCTGTGCTCCGTAAGAACACTTGCTAATTGGCTGTTTTGCAGCACCGCTGTGGATTTTGCCGTGGAGACAGTTGGGCATTATTTTATGCTTCAAACTCGCCCGTTTTTATTAAACATTGTCTGTTGAGGTTAGTTAGAGAGCCTTGCGATTGGCTAATGGTATTGGAAACCACAGGCATTATTAACTCTCATTAAATGGCTTACAGAGTGAAATCTTCAACAGAAAGACGGCTTTATTCCTGAGCCTCACTTTCTCTGTTCGGAGCAGGAGAAACGGGATCTTTCATTTATGAATGCAGAGCTTTCCTTGGCGCGCGCTCTGACACAGACATCTAGAGCCCTGGGCTGAGATTAACACTGTTTACACAACACAAATGTAGAGTTTAGGGGGGTGCATTTACATCCCGTCATTCCTGCAGTCTCAGGTAGTCGGCTCTGCTCTTCAGTCTCTCGCACAGGACGCAAGTCTGTGCCTGAGTCCTCGCGGCTTCCCCCACGATATTTTATCATAGTCCTGACTTAACATCCGGGAGAGCGAATCCTGCTTGGCTTTCATGGGAGCTGTTGAATTTGGGATCAAGAAATCGTTTCTGGAACATTCTGTAAAGGTCCGGCACACGTCCGTTCGCACTCCTCGTAGAATTTCTTCCATTTGCGCCTGTCCCCTCTCAGAATGGGGCTCCGATTGGGCCGTTGGGTGGTACTCGTGGTTTCTGGTGCCAGCGTCTCGGTAATGGGGTGGCTTTCTGTGGCCTCCCCTCTCCCTGTAACATATCAGAGTGGCAGTGTGCCCCCCTCCCTCCCCCCCCCACCAACATATGGCTTGAATTCCCATCCCAAGCGGTCATTAAGCAAAATGGGGAGATCATAAATTGCCAGTTATCTTTGGAGGGACGTGTTAGCGCCAGCCGGGGGGGGGGGACGGGCGCCGCCGTGTAAAACATACCCCATCCATTATTCACCAAACAAGCCCACAACTTTGGGCCATGTCCCAGCCCTTTAAATAATCACAGTCTTCTACTAAAGTTTGTTAACCGTCTCCCCCATCCCCCCCCCGGCTGACGTGGCTGTCAGTAACCTGACAGAGGTGTTTGCAGGGCCTCGGCTCCATACCAGTCTTCCTGGGGGTAGGCAGGTTACCCGCCCCCCAGGACTCGCCAGCCGGTGGCCCCCGTCTGTGTCGCGTGCAGCCCAGGGTGTGACATGCTCCCCTGTGTGACTGATGACTGTGTTGTAACTTTATCTCATTTTTAAATTCCCCTCCAGGCTTCGTCTGCCAAGATCCGCTGCTACGCCAGACCCAAGCCGGACGCGGCCCACCAGACCCGAGCTCACGGTCCCAGGCTCGCAAGGCCCAGGTAAGGCCCATGTTCCTTGGAAAGCCGAAACTTTCCATGGCTTGTGCTCCGGGGCTCCCCGCGTACTGTGGATCCGCAGTGCGGTGTTGGGAGAACCAGCGCTGATGCAATCACAGCGCCCGGTCATATCATTCGACGGCACCCGCTTTTATTGGCCGGCTGGCGGTCGCGGTGCCGAAGCCAGGTGACACATGCTGGAAAAAATCTGTGACTGCAATCAAAAAACAAAAAATTTCAAAAGTTTTGTATTTCGTTTGGTTACTTATGGGAGGGCTGGGTAGGGGTTAAGGCTGTCATTGTTAGGATTAGGGTTTTTCCCCATAGGAATGAATGACAAACCCCACAAACGTGTGTGTGTGTGTGTTTGTGTGTGGTGCCCTGTGTGTGTGTGTGTTTGCGTGTGCGTGTGCGTGTGCGTGTGCGTGCGCGTGCGCGTGTGGTGCCCTGAGAGTGATGATGCTGTAGAGGGCCTGGTTCCCCGTTAGTGCTCATTAGGTCTCACCTCCGTGTCCCACGTGTGTTTGTGTGTGGTGCCCTAGTGTGTGTGTGTGTGTGTGTGTACGTGCGCGTGTGCGTGCGCGTGTGCGTGCGCGTGCGCGTGTGCGTGTGGTGCCCTGACAGTGATGATGCTGTAGAGGGCCTGGTTCCCCGTTAGTGCTCATTAGGTCTCACCTCCGTGTCCCACGTGTGTTTCCCATAGCGCCCACACTCAGCACAGCCAGCCTCTGCAAACACCAGACCGGTGAGTTTTACCGCACACTCATCTGGGGACATAAAATGACCCATTAATCTGTTCATCCCTCCCCTCATCCCTTTTTCTCTCGCTCTCTTTTCCTGTCCTCGCTTCACGATGCTGCTATGCTCTGTCACCGGTAAGAAACTGAAGTCTTTGACTATTCCTTTGGAAAGTGTGGTTTTAAAAAATCGCTCAGTGGAGTCCTCAGGCTCAGGGCTGTTTCGATTGGACAGTAATTGTGAAAGAACAGTTTTAAGTGTTTTCTTTGCTAGTTAGGCTGGCGTTCCTGTAATTATGGAAATATTCTAAAAGTTGTTCTACTTAAGTATTAAAATGGCTTTAATGCACAACCAATTCGACTAATAGACATGATTCCATTGGGCAGTTTAGTACTTGGACCAGATGCTGGAGGAACATTATGATCTGATTGGCTGACATTGGGCAGCGGGTTTGGGGGATTCGCTCAGATGGTAACAGAGGGAGGTAAAGGAGTGCTGTCAGCGGACCTGATTGGATTCCCGCGGGGATCTCGTCTGTCTCTCCGGCCCTTTAAGAGGCACCGGCGGGGATCATTACGTGGAATTAGGAGCCCGTCAGTCGCTGGCTGCGGGCCCCATAGACAAATTAAACACAATCCAGAGGCTGTTTAGATGACAGGATCTATATGCGAATGCTGAGGTGGGGGGGTGTGGGGGGGGGCTGTGTGCTGGCTCTTGGCTGAGACCCGAGCCTCCTTGCCAAGGTCGTCAGTCATTTATGGTAATGCGTGTTTTGGGGGGAGACGTGGAATACCAACAGGGAGATAAAATGTGCCATTTATTTAAGAGACTGCATTTGGGTGGAGGGGGTGGGGGGGGCACTAAATGTTACATTGCCCTCTGGGGGGGTGTAACTCAAGGCATGAATATGGGACCCTCTTCCCTCACAAATAAGCACCTAGATGTGTTTTCAGACTCTGGGAAATTTCTGGAAAGTTCTGCATGATTGCCTCTGAGGTTCCTCCTACACCATTTCGGGTGGCCTGCTTGTGTAAGGCTGTGCATGCTAAATGATCTTGTCTGGAGGAGATGGCTTTGGGGAGCGGGAATCCTCTAGATGGCCTGAGAGAGCCTAAATACAGCAGAGCCAGTGGCCTTGTTTATGATTCTGTTTTCTGGTTATAATAGCTGTGATAACCAATATGTGACCAGTGCTGATACCTCCTCCCCAGCGACAGCGACCCATGTCAGCCAATGAGGTGGATCCAAATGGCCTGAAGGACAAGCCAGGGGCCAATGAGGGGGACAGCACCCTGGGCCTCACTACAGAGGAGGTAACGCCCTTTGTGCCGGCTGTCCATTCCTCCTGGCTCTCTGTCGCCCCCACACAGCGACAAAGCAAATTATCACGGGCCGGTTTTTCCTTTGTCAGCTGAAGGTGCTGAGGAGGATGAAGGAGGAGCACGAAAGGAGAGGCGGTTTCATCCGGATTTTCCCCACCGCCGAGACCTGGGAGCTGTATAGGTAAGAGGGTCTGGGGGGGATCAGCTGTCTCGGCGGCTCCGGATCTCAGTTTCTGTGTCTGTGGGTTGGGAAGGAGGATGGCGGCCAGCGGGAGGCGCTCTCTGCCCTGGGGGTGAGGTGCGATGCAACAACGGCTGCTGTGTCACACCGGGAAGGCCCCTGGCGTGACTTTTCCTGCATGAGCGTCGTCACTTGAATGAAAACCTCTGTGTCTGTACACGGGGGCGCTTGTGTGAGACCGCGGGCCGTGCATGGTGCCTTGTGGGGGTCGGCCCCCAGCACATATCCTTCAGGGGTCCCCGGGAGGGCTTTATGGCCCGGTTTGGCTGTGTTTATGTTGGGAGCTTGGTTTCCCAGGGTGCTGCAGCGGGGGTCACCAGAGGAGGGGGCGCTTCCCGCTCCGCCAGGAGGGCTCTGCGCGAAATTTAAAACCCCAAAATTTTCCTTCCGCCCCTGCAGCGGTTACCTGGAGTACAGGACGTCAATGAACTACATGCTGGCTAGCAGACTGTTCCCAGAGAGGTAAGTGGGTCTTTGTGGGGTAGGGGTGCTCTGCAGGGCCACATTAATCTCTTAGTGTTGTACACATGGGGGCCCCAAATGGCGGTTGAGCAACAGCCCCTTGCCTGTGAATGGGGGGCCCGTATATGAGGAGCTCACATTCTGGGGGTCTCGTGTTGTGAAATAAAGGGGCCGTCTTGTGGGTCCCAGGGGCTGCGTTGACAGGGCTGCACCATGGGGCCGCTGGCCGCCTTGGCTCCTCTCTCATCCCGCTGTCAGTGTTGCACAACGTCAGCTCCGTTAGCTGCTCTCCGTGCCCCCCCCACACATACACACACACAATGCCCGTTCTGTCTCCCTCCGCTCTGCAGGTCCGGGAAGCTGGCGCCGGTCTGGAAGTCCCGGTGGGTGTCACCCCTCCATCCCGTTCCTGGTTTTAAAATGGTGCTTCGCTATGGTTGCCGTTGCTGACCGCATGTTGCCCCGCCCAGGGGCAGCGGGACGGGCAGCGGGACGGGCAGCGGGACGGGCAGAGATGTGGCAGCGGCCGACGCCGCCCACGCCTTCCGCGCCGCACAGTATGAACGGAAACTGCTCACCCTGGAGGCGAGGAAGAGGAGGAGACGGAGGGCCGCCCAGCATTCGGCCCTCGGGAGAGAGAGAGCAGGTGCCCGGCGGGGGTCGTGTGATTTCTGCCCCTGGGGCTCAGGACAGTGCAGGGGATCCCGCAGAGAGGCCACCCTGTGCAACTGCGTGGTTTATTTTCCCATTTTCCACAGAAATCTGAGTGTTTCGCTCTCAGTTTCAGCACCTGCCCTGTGTATTTGTTCCAGATTTTGGCTTTTGTCAGAGCATGTGGTTAAAATCGCTCC